AATGTAGCTAGAGCCGAGAATGTAATTACTTAAGATGTAATCTGGTCTAAATACAAATGGTTAAGGCACTAATTAAAATAATTAGGGCAACATAAGTAATTCTATTAAAATAAGAAATATAATTATTTTGTTTTTTAAGCCATTATAAATACATTTGTTGAAGCACTCAAATAAAAATAAGCTTTCACCAAAAAGTCATAGGAATTGGCCAAGTAAAACTTCTGCATGACCTCAGTATGTATCCAAGAGTTAATTTAAAAGAATTTTCTAATACTTTTTGCATTATGAGAAAATTATAGAGATTTTTCTAATTTCCACAGTGGCAAATAAACTCTTATGTTGACCTAGCTTTCGCCTTATATTCATGGCTTTAGGCCAAAACATTTTGTGCTTTAGTTCACAATGTGATAAAACAAAAGTTAAAGTTGGTAATATGCCCTGTGACATCAAAAAACCCCAATAGAGGGTAGATTGTGCTCGCCCACTAGCAGACCGTCTGCAAGCGGTGTGTTCTGCGGGAAGGAGGAAGGGTCGTAAAGCCTTGCAGCTGCGACCTTTCGCTTCAGCAGCACGCTGCTCTGCCTCCTGGCTCCATAGACGACAAGCGCGTCATGCAATGCACAGTATCCGGTAGCTGAGTACGTGGCATTCACGCTCTGCACCGTGTCCTTTCAGCCATCTGTCACCCTCCCTGCAAGAATGGCGGCCGCTGCATGAGGAACAATGTGTGCGTCTGCCGTGAAGGATTCGCTGGTAGAAGGTGCCAGGAAAGTAAGACACCACCGAACTTACGTACCACCTCTCGGCTAAGCACTCCCAAAGCCGCTGCTGCTTAAGGGCTGACATCTGATCCTTTACCCGAAGGTGTCTGTGGGCCTATGTGCATGAACGGAGGAAAATGTGTGGGAACGAACCTGTGCTCCTGTCCTTCCGGCTGGAGTGGGAAATGGTGCAGCGAACGTAAGAATACCCGCAACCTCCCTTTTTAAAAGATGTATCTGGTACAGGGTCTCACTACACAGCTCGGACTGGTAGGGATCCTCCTGTTTTCAGCCTCCCCCGCGCTGGGATTACAGGCGTGCTCCACCATTCTTGGACTCTTATCATGGGCTCATTGAGCCTAAGGGTGGGGCCGGCGCTGCATGTGGTACCGGGAATCGAACACCCAGTGCCTGCGCTTGCCTAACCAGGCGCTTAGTCCGCCCAGCTATCTTGCCAGCCTTCGTAAGAGGACTCTTAAAATGCTAAACAAAATGAGGCGGGCACAGCAGGTTATGCATTGCATGTGTTCTCAATACGGCAAAAGTAAAGTGTAAATAATCCAAAAAGCAAAAACA